CCCCCCTTCATCACCCCCTATAACTTGCACCACCAACACCCCTGCACAACCACCATCCCGAAATGTGCACCACCAGCCCCCAGGAGAAAGATGAAAAGTGTATCCTGCATACACTGTATGCATTTCGGCCGATTGACCAGTTACAATTCATTCATTGGGTAGCCCTGGCCCCTATCAGTACCCTTCTGTCTGACTTCCTTCCATCAGAAAATGTAAGGAACCGGTTGGAAAATTTTCGACTGAACAGTGACAGCAGCCGTTGCGGTATTCTGACAGCATACCCATCGCTATCAGAATACAATAGCCCGGAAGGAGCTTCATCCCTCCGCGCTCTTCAGGCCACCAACATGTTTTGGACTGTGGCAAGAAACAAGCACATACAAACAAATAAATAGGGTCACTGATTGCATTCACCACCGAGCCATTTTGCTGTCCACGTCATATTCCTTACTTACTGTAATATGGTATGTTTTATTTTTTCCTATCAGGGTCTTAAAGGAGCCATTGGTCTACCAGGTCTAAAAGGACTTAAAGGAGACAGGGTAAGTGTGACCTCTTTTCAAGTGAAAAACCTTAAGTGGTGTACTGTCCGTTTTATTTCAGTTATTTTAAGGTTTACATATTTTAAACGTTTTTTAATTTGTTTATACTATTTATATACAATTTTATTTGAAAAGGTAAGTGTATGTAAAGACAATTTTTAGAAAATTGTCCCAGAGTTTGTCATATTTTCTTTGCTAAATATGTAGGGAGCAGTAAGGGTGCCACAGCAATAGTCAAAGAGTCCAAATATTTGTATTATTAGATAATCAGAAAGCCAATGTGTTTTGGGGGTTTAGATGTTCCCCCTTTATTAGGGCTACAACACAGGTTCCCAGGTTAGAGGGAGTGTCTAAATTCGTATTCCACTGATTATCTAATTAAAAAAATGTGATTATTGGTGTGGCGCTCTTACGGCTTTTTACATATTTAGACTTCCCTTAAGACCAACCTTCTCTTGAGGGTTCTTTTACATATGAGAAGCCTCACTGAAGTGAGTCATTATTATTGATATGGTCTTTCACAACACCGAATATGTATAATAATAGTATTTAAATAATAATATTATTATTATTATATATGTGGTAATTACCCATAAAGTATATGTAAACTTTAACTACTCAATGACCGGGGTGTTAAACCTCCTGCCTGTCCAGGTAATTTTTCAGTATTCAGCGCTGTTGTACTTTGACTAACAATCTGCCAATCCCTCCACTGGCTTCCACTTGCCCAAAGGATAAAATTCAAAATATTAACAATCACTTATAAAGCCATCCACAACTCTGCCCCCTGATATATCTCAGACCTTATATCACCCTAAACGTCCCCTCCGCTCCTCCCAAGACCTCCTGCTTTCCAGCTCCCTTGTCAACTCCTCCCATACTTGCCTTCAGGACTTCTCTAGAGTCTCTCCCATCCCCTGGAACTCTTTACCCCGACCTGTCCGTCTTTCTCCAACCTTGACTGCCTTTAGGCGTTCCCTAAAGACTTGTCTCTTCAGGGAAGCCTATCCCACCTCAACCTAACCACTGAACCATCACACCCTCAAACAATTCATCCCCACACAGCTCCCTCCTCATGTATCACTTGTCCCTCCCTGTTAGATTGTAAGCCCTCAGGGGCAGGGCCCTCCTTACCATCTTGTCTTGAATTGTATTGGGATTGTAATGTCTTGCTTATTTTGTAAAGCGCTGCACAAACTGTTGGTGCTATATAAATCCTGTATAATAATAATAACATCTAATGCCTAAGATCGAACGTCTTTTATGCATGTACCTCAAGTTTCCAAAATCAAGAAGAAATCAAAAATTGTAGAGTTGTCATCAGAGGGAAAGGGTAGGAAAAATCTCACAGCTGTTTCTATGACAACTCTCTAATTCCATTCATGTGGAGAAATTTCCTCTTGCTTCTGTCTCAATCTGGGGTCCAGGGCACTTAAGCGCTTGAGCTCCGGGTTTTTCGGAGAGGGTTGTTAGAGTCGCTAGCTGGGGTGATCTCTGCAATGCTGGTCACATGAAGCTTGGGGTCTAAGAGTCTGTGCATTTTCTGGGACGCATGCACAACGCAGGATCTAAGAAGGGCCAGGTCTTCCACAGATCCTCTAATGGTGAGGATGATTGGCTGCTGGACACCTTCCAGTTTGCGGCCCTCTAGCGCACCCACACAGACTCAGGAACTGGTTACAGCACCAGGGTTCAGCACACAAAGGCAGTCAGTGCAAGGCCTGTACACAAACAGCAGTACAGGATACAGAGGGATTCAGTAGCAGGAGTCCAAACAACAATGGGAAGGGAACACAAAGGAGACAACAGAAAGACAGCACAAAACGGCTATCCGGAGATAACAGAGGAGCGAGGCTGCAAGGACAAACAGCCACATAAGGGGAAGACAAACTCACAGGTAAGCAGGATCTCACAGTGAGTCAAGCATTTTCCAAACCTGGTTTTCAAACCAGTGAGGCAGACAGGGCTGGACTGGCCTCTGGGCATACTTGCCCGGTGGGCCGAGGCGAGCAAGGCCGGCTGGGGCACTCAAAATCAGGCAGCAGCGGCTGCCTAATCTGGCAGATTAGGTGGCTGGGAGGCCCCATAAGCGGCTGCCTAATTAGAGAGCTGCCTGGTGGAGAAGGGGGGCCCAGTGAGATGCAGTCCGGCCGGCTTTGTACAGGAGGTGGAGGAGAAGCAGCAGGTGGCTCAGGGCTGGCCATAGCATGCGATCTGACAGAAGGATGTCCTAGAGGTAGGCTGGAAGGCTGCAATGTGTCCTGCTGGTACTGATGGTGCTTTGGGCTGCAGGTAAGAGGAGAAGCACATGTGTGCAGGGAAAGAAACCTGAGATCCCGCACAGCTCACCACCTAAGACCCCGCGCAGTCCACTACCTGAGACCCCACGCAGTCCACTACCTGAGACCCCGCACAGCCCATCTGAGACCACACCCAGCCCACCATAGACCCCACACAACCCACCATAGACCCTGCACAGCCCACCTGAGACCCTGCAAACCCAACCTGAGAAGCTGGCAGAAGTGATATAGCACGCGCCTGTTACTATTTAAACAGACACTCGCTGTATCCAGCTTCTGACAGGATAAGCAAAAGGCACAGCGGGCTTCTCCACTACGCTAATAGCACAACCTGTGAGAAGCTGGATACGGCGTGCGTGCTGTATCCAGCGACTGACAGGTTACGCAAAATGTCTTAAACAGGAAGGAGTGGGGCAAATTTAGATTGGGGGGGGAGGGGTGCCTGAGTTTATTCCTGCCTAGGGCAGCACAAAACCAAATACACTACTGCCTGGAGCTCCTCACCATGTGTAGATGAGAAAACAAAGGGACACACATCACCGTCCATAATCCTGCCAGCCACTGACTTAGTATACAGTAAATAAATACTAAAATTGGTCCTAGACCACTACACCATTATAGTTTCATTTTAATTATGAAGGTCATTGAATGTGTTTTATTTCTTCATATTTAGGGTGATAATGGAGCAGCAGGACCTCCCGGACTTCCTGGCAACGTTGTAAGATCATTTCCATTTCCTGTTTTGTTGTTTTTGGAATATATGTGAATAATGTTAATCAGTCTCTATATGTGTAAATTCTATGTTTCCCTTTTTTTAGGTACAGCAGGAAGGACTGAAAGGAGAAACGGTAAGAATAGTTCTTTTTCCAACAGATTTGTTTCAAAACATTTTTTTCTGTACTGACTATAACCAAAAAATGTTTGTTGAAGATTGATGAGTTGAAGATAATTATAATCATTTACAATAGTAAAATGTAATGCAAACAGCACGGTTATACTTTGTACCAATAGGGCGCAGGAGTGTCCCGATCCATTGTGCCACCTGAGACCGGGGGACAAAGTGGTGCTGGTGTGGTGGCTGGGAGTGGGGTGGTGCTGGTGGAGAGTGACGCCACCCCCCCACGCGTGCGGGAGTGATGGCGGGGTGTCCCATCCAGCTCCTGGCAACCTGGCTGGGACATCACTGGTTGCCAGAAGCTGGGCAGGACACCAGCCAGAGCCTCCCAGGTTGCTAAAAGCTGGGCAGAGAGATGTATATGGCCCCACATCTCCGCACCCTGGCTCATAGCATCCTGGGACACTCTGGCTGGACGGGGGCGGTACGCACACTACAAACATTGCCATGCCAATCTGCCTGCCGCCCCCTCCATGTGACCCTAAGAGATGTTGCCTCAGGCTGCCTTACTATAGGGACGACCCTGATAGCGTGTGATAACTTCTCCAAGACGCATGCCTGTGTGGTCATACATTTTTTTACTAAAACCTCTTTGTGGGTCAGTATGCATCAGTGCCCCCAGACAAGGATTCTTTCTCCACTTGCTATGGAGAAGTCACACAAAGTTGTAACTGTATTATCTCTTGTGGTCAGACAGGTGACAGGGCAACTTATGTTACAGTTTGATCATTTAGGACTGAATATTCAATTTTTTCCATATACCCATCCATGTCTAGTTCTTATCAAGGGTGCATGCGATACCTACTGTTGGGCATATACTACTTTTTAGGACAGGTTCACTTTAACCTAAAGAGGATCAGTCATGTGTTTGCCAAATAATAGTTCAATTTGAAGGGTTTGAAATGAATGCTGGGGCTGGTACACCAATTATGGAATAAATTCCCAAGTGCATAAAAAGCTTCACAATCTGTGCCAAATAAATAATGGTCCAGAACATGAGTTGGCCAATATTTGGCATAAAAGCGGTAGCAGTAGTGCGCCAAGAGACGATGGCAGAAGACAATTACACATTCTAACATGTGCCCAATAAACTGCAACATAATAGTTTATTTGACATGCGATGCGATAAATGGGCATGTGCTTCTTTTTTTTATACAACACGCCACAACACACTTGTGCACAGAGCACATAGAAAACAATTGCTCTTGTGTTGAGAGCTCAACGGAGTTCAACAGAGCTCAACGGACATGATATTTCGAGCCCTACACATGGCAATCACACAAATTAGGATTCCACAAATATAAACTTAATAAATGTTATAGACTACAGTCCCAATTCACAAAGCTTTAGCACAAGGATAAGGATCTTTATTTTAGACTGTATTTTGCATTGGGCTCAGCTGTAAGTAACTGTCACTTTGTTTTGACAATAAAGATCCTTGTCCAGGTGTGTCAGCTCTGTGAATTGAGCCCTCTGTGTTAAAAGAGAACTATGGGGTTAGGGCTTTTCCCCATAGATCCCCTAAGGGTAACGGGAGGACACAAACTATCGTCCTCCCGTCACCCAAAGCTCAGTATACCGCGAGCTGCAGCTCGCGGTATACTGAGACGCCGCAGCCGGGACGGATCCCAACATTACTGTCGAGATCCACCCAGCTGCAGGATTGACAGCTGGCTCTGCCTATCTAGAGGCAGAGCCAGCTGTGCCCGCCCCCTCCCCCGTCCGTTCCGCCAGTCAGCGCTGGAGGATCGGAGAGGGGGGAATCCCTGCAGGGAGCCGTGAGTGACAGTCACGGCTCTCTGCAGGGATCGAGAAGTGAGCGAGCGACGCTATGTGTTCGCTCACTTCCCGATCTATTGAGCCGACCTGTGACAGTTTCATTGTCACAGGTCGGCTAGAACTATGAGGTGAGTGATTTTCTGCTTTAATTCTGTTGTTTCTGTTTCATTTTAAGTCTATTTTATTTGTTCTTGTGTTATTCAGGGGTTGTTATAAAACATCAGCTTTCTTTATTGATTGATTTAGCTTGTGCTCCTGCGGTTGCTCAGTGTACTGTTTGTTTCACAATATTCCTTTCATGTTTTTGCAGGGAGCTCCTGGGCCGCGAGGACCTCAAGGTCCCTTAGGACCAACTGGACCGCCTGTAAGTAAATAAAAAGAGCTTTTCTAATCAATTTATAATCAAAGCTTTTGTTTTGTTTTGTTTTTTCTCTGCACAAAATAGAAACCGGGACTATAAATCAGAACTAAAACTGGATCTCCAAGCTGCAAGAATCGTTTTATCTTTCGTAGTTGGAAGCAGATTTTGACATTGCTGTTTTGTATTAGATATTCTAGTTATGTATTAATGAAAACACACATTGACTGTATTTAATACTGTAAGAATAGATACATGAAATATGTATATACCTTTTCTGCACACCAGGATACAGACAGAGAGAAAGGCTGATAGCCAATAAGGCACAAGTGCTGTCAGACTAACATGTTTTATTTCATGGGCACACTGACTCCATCAGTGTGCCCATGCTCCTACATTGTTCAGTTTTCCAGTTAGAGATGGGAAGGTGACCAAGCTGTATTTCTTAACCTATAGCTGATAAAATCACAGATCTGTATGTTTCCCTCTCACTTGGGAACAGCCATGCACCACAGTCCCGCTTCTATTGGCTCTCACATTTTCCCACCCAACTCCTGTGCTCTGCTCCACTTCAGTGTCCCTACCTGGCTCCTGCCTCTCAGCTTTCTTTCAGTATCTCAGTCTGGCTCCTCTATCTCTTTTTTTTTCACATGGACTCCAGTGTCTCTGCTCTCCAACACTGTACCAACCCAACTGTTGTGTCTTTGCTCTTTTTCACTTTTCCCACCCGATACCTGGGTCTCAGATCCCCTTCAGTATCCTCATCCTCGTGTGTCTATTTTTTAATATTCCCCAATGGACATATGTCTTTGCTCTCCAATACGTTCTACACCCAACTCCTGTGTGTCCTGTCCACTGTGGTGAGGACAGTCTTCGGCGTCAGTCTTCTTCATCGTCTCCTCCTGACTTCTGTGTCAGTTTTCTTCACTGTCTCCTCCTGACTTCTGTGTCTCAGATCTCTATTCCTGCCCCACCAATCTCCTGTGTCTCTGTTTTCCATCACTGTACCTACCCAACTTTTGTGTCTTCACTCTTTTTCACTTTACCTTCTCGATACTTGGGCTTCAGCTCTCCTTCATTCTTTTCTTCAGAGACAGTAATAGATTCCTGTGTCTCCATTCTCCAACAATGTCCACACCCAACTCTTGTGTCTGCTCTCCAACACTGTCCCAACCAAACTACTGCGTTTCTGTTCTTCTTCACGGTTCCCAACCTGTTTCCTTCACTGTCTCCCCTGACTTATTTGTCTCCGCTGTCCATCACTCTCCCCACCAACCTACTGTGTCTCTGCTTCATCTTCCTGACGCCTTTGTCTCTTTCCTGTTCACTGTCCCTACCCAACTCCTGTCTATACTCTACTTCACTTTCCCCACCCGATACCTGGGTCTCAGCTCTCTTCAGTGTCCCCATCTGGTTCAGGTGTCTCTATTTTCTTTACAGTCCCCAGTGGACTTATGTGTCTCTGCTCTCCAACACTTTCTCAAACCAACTCCTGTGTCTCTGGTCTTCAACATTGCCCACACCCAACTCCTGTGTCTCTTGGCTCTCCTTCAGTGTCTCCATCTGGCTCTTGTGTCTCTGTCTTCTTCATTGCCTACTCCTGACTCATGCAATTCTGCTGTCTTTCCTTGTTCTCACCTACTACCTGTGCCAGTATTCTTCACTATCTCCTCTTGACTCCTGCGTCTTTGATCTCTATTATTGTGCCACCAACCTCCTCCTGGGGTGGCCCCATCACATTTTTTGCTATAGGGCCACATGATTACGGCCCTGTCACTACACAACACAGGGTGGACACATAGGGTGCCCCCAGCTTGACTTTGTGGTCCTTCCACTAGATGCTATGTCACTAAAGGGCACAGAGTGGACACATAGGGCGTCCTAAGCTTGACTTTGTGGTCCTTCCACTAGCTGCTATGTCACTACAGGACACAGAGTGGACACATAGGGTTTCCCCAGCTTGACTTTGTGGCTACTTCTACCAGCCACTATGTCACTACAGGACTTAGGGTGGGCACATAGTCACTACAGGACTTAGGCTGGACACATAAGATGTCCCCAGCTTGACTTTGTGGTTTCTTCCACCAGCCGCTATATCACTACTGGACATAGGGTGGAAACATAGGGTGGAAACATAGGGTGTCCGCAGCTTGACTTTGTGGTTCCTTCCACCAGCCGGTATGTCACTACAGGACACAGGGTGGGTTTGCAACACCAAATTAGACAAGAGGGTTGTATGTACTATACCCGCACCTGTAGGCCATTGCCTAGGGTAGCATGGTTAGATATGTTGTACTTGATTCCACTTGCCGGTTGCCGTAGAACACATTTGCCTCTCTGAAAAAAAGGATTTATGCCTACTATCCCCATATCACTCCCTGTATCTGGAACAACAAGAGTTTATATTGGAAGAGTAGAAAAAAGGTCATATGTAACCACAAATTGTACCTGGATGCAGCTTTTCCTTTTATAACTATATGTGCCATATTGTCGCTGATTTCTGGAAAACTTTTGAAAATTCCCAAATAATTGATCTCTCTCCCTATAGGGACCTGAAGGCCCCAAGGGCACCGCCGGACTCCCTGGACTTGAAGGACAGCGGGTAAGCCGAATTCTCTATTCTATTTATATTGTGGCACTTTGGTGCCTAAAATGGCTTTACTGGGTGACATTCCGGTTGGTTAGGTTCTTCAAAAATGCTTAACCCGTCATCAGGTTAGCACGCCACCCAAAAATGATCCCATGTTTGAATCCCATGTACAGGTTGACCGTCAAACAATATGCCTAATTGGCAATCCAAATGCCCATTTATATGGACAGAGAAGATTTTGAATAATGTAACATTTGTCAGTAAATACATTCTGGAGCTGCTGTCACTCAAACCAGCGATTGGTGTTTAGGGAGGAGGAGCTGACTTATGTGGGTGGGACTATGACAGGACTTGGGCCGAGCATGCTGGTGCGCTGTGCCTTGGCAGTCGGGATCTCAGCGTAGGGTGACAATGCCCTTCCTGCATGGAGACACGCTGAGTCAGCATGGTCTCTCTATAACAGGATGTAATAGGAGACAGTTCCTACAGGCAGGACCAACAGATGTGGTCATAGGGCAGCACAGAGGCTTAGTGGTTAGAACTTCAGCACTGGGGTCCCTTGTGCGAATCTGGTTTCCTCCCACACTCCACAGACATGCTGGTAGGGTAATTGGCTCCTGTCTAATTCTGGCCCTAGTGTGCATGTATGTATGCTTATGAGAAAGGGACCTTAGATCAGGGGTGGGAAATTCCGCCCCTGCAGCTGTTGTGGAACTACAAGTCCAATGAGGCATTGCAAGACTGACTGTTATATGCATGACTCCCAGAGGCATGCTGGGATTTGTAGTTAAAGCACAGCTGGGGAGCTGGATTTTCCCACCACTGCTTTAGATTGTAAGCTCCTTGAGGGCAGGGACTGGTGTGAATATGTAAAGCAGTGTGTAAACTGTCGGCACCATATAAATACCTGTAATAAATAAATCATAGGCACTGCAATCCTCCCAAAAATGAATGGTTGTCCTACAGAAACAACCTGTTAGAAGACCTTCGGCTTAGTTCACAAAGCTTTACACACGTTTAAGGCTCTTTATCTTCAGTCATGTGACTGTCATTTTCAAATCTCATTGGACTCAGCTAAAAATAACTGTCACTTTCTTGAAGATAATGATCCTATATCTGCTGTTTTATCCGTGTGAATCTTGTGAATCTTCAGTCATGTGACTGTCATTTTCAAATCTCATTGGACCCAGATAAAAATAACTATCACTTTCTTCAAAATAAGGATCCTCTATCTGGTGTTTTATCTTTGTGAATCGTCAGTTATGTGACAGTCATTTTCAAATCTCATTGGACTCAGCTAAAAACAACTGTCACATTCCTGAAGATAAGGATCCAATAGTTGCTGTTTTATCTTTGTGAATCATCAGTCATGTGACAGTCATTTTCAAATCTCATTGGACTCAGCAAAAAATAACTGTCACTTTCTTTAAGATTATCCTCTATCTTTTTTTTTATGCTTGTGAATCGTCAGTCATGTGACTGCCATTTTCAAATCTCATTGGACCCAGCTAAAACCAGCTGTCACTTTCCTGAAGATAGGGATCCTATATCTGCTGTTTAAGGCCTTGTTCACACCAAATGCAGACCAGATCTGCATGAGTTTCTGCACACGCAGTGCAGTGGGTTGTGCCACGTTTTTTGCCGCGTTTTTGATGCGTTCCGGGCCGTTTTTTTATTAGTTTAAAATGGGCTTTCAGTGCATTCCAGGGCGTTTGCATGCGTTTTTGATGCATTTTAATGCATCCCAGAGCGTTCCAGAGCAGGTAAAATAGGGCCTGCTGCAGTTTTTTTACATGCTCTGGGCCTGCTCTGGAACGGAACGCTGCAAAGTGAACTGAAGCTAAAAATACCATTGGAATACATTGGACGCAGTTTTGCTCCGGTCTGTAACCGTTCTGCTCTGCACCTGCTCCGTGCTTGGTGTGAACAAGGCCTTATCCTTGTGACTCGAGCCTCATATATTCATATTTGCTTTCCTCCAAGGAGGCAAAGTTATACTAGTATATGTTTAGTGAGCTCCGTAGTTCCTTAGTGTTATACAATGTTTCAGTTTCCGAGTCCTGTATTGGGAAAAGCTGCAGAGCGTTGCGTCTTACGGCACCTTTAATTCGGCTGACGTATGGTAGCTAATTAAGCTTTTATATCTTTTTATTATTACCGAAAAAAGAAAAGTTCTCGGCTCTGGAGATGAGAGAAATTAATCTCAGCCCGCTTATTCAAGTGGAAACTGATTTTGGCCGCCCGGCTGCGAGCTCACTGCGTTCCGCTGGAAGTTTTCCCGCGCAGAGAAAACACATTTCAGCAAAGAGCGCGGACGATACGGCGGCCGGTAATGGGCCATACGACTCAGTTGGGCTCTCGTCTGCGTTCTGGCACCCTGTTAATGAACGTCATTACGGGATGGATTCAGCGGCGTCTAATGAGGATTTTTTCCCCCCCTTTAACACAAATAAGCGGCGGCTGGCGGAGTTTCAATTCTGCCCAATCTGCGAACATTCTGGATCCTGGCGGCATTTAAAGGATCCTTTGTGTTCTAATTGAAATTTCGCTAAGTGTCTCAGATGGCGGCTTATGAAAAGAGATTTTAATGTCCTTTTATTTTTTGTATTATTCCATATTTGAAATTATTTTTATATTATCTGAGAACGGGTAAGGGGCGGGGTGGGGGGGAGGGGAGTGGCTCTATATTCTAAATAACACAAATGCAATATATAATCATACAGAGGCCTCTGAACCATAGCTTCATGTTCATCTAGACAGGTGCCTGCTGAGCTGGGACACTACTCTTCTGGTCCCCTGGAACACATTCTCACTTCAGGGCTGCCCTACATCAATAGGAAAAAAAAATGTGCCTATTACTAGGGATGCACTGAAACCGTTTTTTCGGTATCACGTAAGAGTAACAATATTTTGCTTTCGGTACTTGCCGATACAGAGTGCTTCCGCTGGCATGAAGCCGGCTTCCCGGGCAATCAGAAAGCTGGGTGGCATGTAGTTACATGCCACCCGGCTTCCTGATTGCCCGCGAAGCCAGTTCCATCTTGTTTGGCCGACTCAATTGTGATTGGCCGGGAAACCGGCTTCCCAGCTAATCAGCATGGAGCCAGCATCTCGGCCAATCAGGAAGCCGTGAGGCAGCTTCACTCACCATCCGGCTTCCTGATTGCCCAGGAAGCCGGCTCCATCTTCTTTGGCCGACTCGATTGTGATTGGCCGGAAAACCGACTTCCCAGCCAATCAGCATGGAGCCGGCTTCTCGCCCTATCAGGAAGCAGTGAGGCGGGTCCACTCACCACCCGGCTTCCTGATTGCCCAGGAAGCCGGCTCCATGTTCCCCTACGGCACTGCCGGTCAGATGACATTTTGCTCTGAACGGAAGTTCAGGTATCAGTGAAGGTATCAGAGCATTTGGGCGAGTACAAGTGCTTGGCCAAATATTCGTTATCGGCACCTATACCGATACTGGTATCAATATCGGTGCACTACTACTACTACTTATTACCTTTAATCCTTCTGCTGCCAAGGCATTTTTTACGTTTTTTGCACACGTCACAATCCACATTTTAGGCCTAAAAATTACTTAAAGGAGAACTATGGGGTTAGGGCTTTTCCCCATAGTTCTCCTTTGGGTAACGGGAGGACACAAACTTGCGTCCTCCCGTCACCCTAAGCACAGTATACCGCGAGCTACAGCTGCTTGAGTGACAGCTGACTCTGCCTATCTAGAGGCAGAGCCAGCTGCACCCGCCCCCTCGCCCGTCCGTTCCGCCAGTCAGCGCTGGCGGATCGGAGCGGGGAGGGGGGAATCCAGCCCCTCCCCTGTCACGGCAGAGAGCCGTGACTGGATCGAGAGGTGAGCGAACGCCAGTATGTGTTCGCTCACCTCCCGATCTACTGAGCCGACCTGTGACAGTCTCATTGTCACAGGTCGACTAGAACTATGAGGTGAGTGAAAAGCACTCCCCTCATAGTTCTCCTTTAACAACCCCCAAGAACTATATATTTCCTGAAAGCACCAGACCCCATGGAATAAAATGGCGGCACTGGCAATTTTTTACATCACGTGATATTAGCTCAGCTTTTTATCAAACCCGAAATGTCAGTACAGATTACACTTAAGTTAATTTTAGTGCCCAAAAAGTATTGTCACCACTAAGGAAAAAAGTAATTATTGAAGTGATTATTTTTATAAATCCTAATACTAGCTACTTTTTTTCTAGTTTGGAATAGAGTGGGAAGAGATTTTGTTTTGGTGTGCAGCGCTATTGGGCAGGGGTTGTTGAATTAATATGGAATACAGGAACCAGTGTGTCCAATCTAGGAGTTTTTTAGGAACTTGCTTCATTGTCAACTAGAGAAATCCTCGAATGTTAGGTGCCAGCTTTAATTTTACGGAGCTTTGGCAACCTGGCCCCTGGGATTTTTCAAGCCCTGCTATTGGGGAAATGTCCCCTTACTTTGTATTAAGCCAGGATTGGGAAAGCACAGCAGCATTTAAATTATTTTCAGAAGTTTTGACTACCCCCTTCTCTATTGGCAGGAAGTAAGGGGAAGTCTTCCCAATAGGGGTTGCAGGCATCCAAAAAGAAAGAAATACAATTAATAAATAACAATAAAAATATTATCTCTTACAAAAGGTACTATGTGAAAATTGTACATGTGTGTGTTTAGAATGACCCATCTCATCTTTATACGCGGCTCCTATAATGGGAATGACACAACGCACAGAATGCTCATAGTGAAGCTTCACACCGGATGGTACATAATAGGACACAGTGAGTAACTCTATACCTTCCAGTGAATCATATGTCACATGAAGCAAAAACACTCTTCGTATACCATTTCATTGAGTAAATTATCATAATGAAGCCACATCACTCCATCATCAAAGGTCATCCACACCCAAAACTGGTATCAGTGTTGAGCGGATAGGAACTCCTGGTCTTCACCATGAACCCTCACAGGTAGATTTGAGGTTTGCTTTGTGATGCCTCCAGTTTGTGGACCTCAGCTTTTCTCACTAATCATAGCTGAGGTGCAGGAGACAGTTGTTAACAAAGTAGAGAAGTGAGAGCATGGGCTATAAAATTCTGTGGACAAGACGAGAGGTTCTAGTCGGTGCCATAACACAGACACATGCTAGGGCAGCCAGCGTTCAGCCTTAGCCATAATACAGGCAAAGGTCAGAGCTGGCGGTGTTCAGTCAGAGCAATAATACAGGTACATATTAGGCAGGAAGCTGCAGGCTAAGCCATTACAACAAGGAAAGATAGGGTGATGTGCAGTCAGAGCCATGGCACAAGCTCATATTATGGCATGAGGCACTCAGGCTGAGCCATAATACAGGCAAAGGTCAGGGCAGACGAGCAATAATACTGGCACATAAGAGGGCAGGAGGCATTCAGGCTGAGTACCTTAAAATTTTTTAACCCCGAGTGTTCCCTTCCAGCCCAACCATCCTACAGTTGTTTAAATGTACTTTAGCTTGTTCGAATTTCTTCCTAGTTCGTATATAAAACTGTATACATGCAGCCAGGAATGTCTCTCCTGACCCTTGTGCTCCCTCTAGTGTTCAAAAATCAGAATGCTGGACGTTCCCCTATTACTTCTCCAATGCAACCGTAAATAACGGAATACTAATGATCCTCCTTCCAGGGGTGACTCACTGTTTTATGTACACTTCTTCCACGGCAATTACATCCTGATTTTTGTATTAATCACACATTTCGGAGGATAAATAGGTCATATTTATTTTTGAAGTAGAAGACGCGAGATGTTTAATCATTTTAATTGCTGGAAAGTAGGTCTACTGTAGGCCGTTATCTGAGTCACACAAGCAATCATTTTATTCTCATGGAAGCTTGTAAAGTGCTCTAAATGCGGGATTCTTTCAAAGGGAAAGTTAAAATGTAATAACTAACCTAGGGCTCAATAGATAGATAGATAGATAGATATTAAAGCGCAACTCCAAAGTATGGTTTTGTTTTCAAAAGATTGGGCATGTGTCAGAAATTCTGTGCCATTTTAATTGATGACTGTGTTCTCATCAGGGAGTTTTCCACTCACTTCCTGTTCAGGTGAGACAAGGACAGGAAACGAAAGGTTGTAGGTGTCATGGAGCAGAAACTGAATGGGATGTTACATCTCCCCAACGGTGACACAGACAACAGTAAAAATAAGACAGAAGTTCTAATGAGCTGCTTGGAACTTCCTCCATTGTGACCATTGAGCCGACTGTTCATCTGAGAAGTCAAAGCAGCTGCTGACCAAAAATGAAATTGTTTAGCTGCAGCTCAGTGCATGGAACTTGGAGGAGAGCTTGTAACAAAATGTTTGATACCATATGTTTAAGTTGTAGCTGTAGTAATTGGTTCCTGCTTTCATTTTAGGGTCCTCCCGGGCCGACCGGCGTTGCTGGACCACCAGGTGATGTGGGCATCCAGGTATGGATGAAATATTCTTATATAAGTATCTATGCAACAGTACAGGAAAAGCTGTCAGTGTCATTGATCAGTCTGTGTTCCGCTCTTTACTGACAGTTGTGTAGTATATTGCAAAGTGTACCCGTGTTATAAACCCAACTCTTGGCCCATGCTTGGCCCAAGTTCAGTGATGCGCTGGGTCTGCTATGTTCTTCCCTTGGTGCTGGGCATTCCTGGATGGTGCCACAATAATACATTGTGAAAGGATGGGGCTTTGACACACTGTGCTCAGTCTTTCCTTTGACTAGCACTAAGGGTGTCATTCAGCTTGCAATTCTGATGACATCTTGTGGTGTAGAAAGGGTACTGCAGAGGATGGCTCCAAATTGAAATGAGCATTGCAGGGGGGTGAAAAAATAGTTGGGATCTATCCTGTGTTGATTTAAAAATTTATTTTTATAAAACAATATCTGCTACAATGTAAGAAAAGCTGTCAGTGTCATTGATCAGAATTCAGAGTTCTGCTGTATATGGCCAGTTATATAGTATATTCCATACAAGGCTTCTATAACAGGTAAAGTGTACCTTTGTTTACAGCCCAGATACAGCCTGGACTCCTAGCAAGGAGAGACAGCTAGGAGAGAGAGAAAAAAGAGAAAGCCAGGGGAGAGAGCATGGAGAGAGAGAGAGTTTGGGGAGAGAGCAAGGAGAGACAGGGGAGAGAGCAAGGAAAGACTGGGGAGAGAGCGAGGAAAGACAGGGGAGAGAGAGAGCGAGGAAAAAAAGGGGAGAGAGAGAGCGAGGAGATACAGGGGAGAGAGAGAGAGAGCGAGGAGAGACAGGGGGGAGAAAGGAGAGATTGTCAGGAGGATGAGAGAGGAGAGACAGCCAGGGGAGAGAGCAAGGAGAGAGAGCCAGGGGAGAGAGCAAGAAGAGACAGTCATGGGAGAGAAAGCGAGGAGAGACTGCCAGGGGAGAGAAAGGAGAGATGGCCAGGATGATGAGCGAGGAGAGAGAGCCACAGGAGCGAGCAAGAAGAAACAGCCAGGGGAGAGAGAGCGAGAAGAGAGATAGCCAGGATGGTGAGTGAGGAGAGGCAGCCTGGGGAGAGAGAGAAGAGAGAGAGCCAGGGGAGAGAGCGAGGGGAGACAGCCAGGAGAGAGAGAAGAGAGATAGCAAGGAGTGACATCTTGTGTCTCTGATTTAGGGCCATACACTGAAGAACTTGGTAAATAGGCCAAAGCATGAAGGTTCAAAAAAAGTCCAATTGTTTTGCTGAGATCCATGTTTTTTTGGCATTAGGGACATTAAGGGCGATATGTAAAAAGCAACACTCACGCTGGTCCCTCCTGCACCCCCGCAATACTGGAGTATATATATTTAGCATTGCACATGCAGCAGATTGTAGTGTATGTGTAAGATGGAGAGAGAGGAAGAGAAGTCTACACCCATACTGTGCACGGAGCGTGGCTGCGCATGAGCAGGAACACTAGAACCCCATAGTTGCCCCTGTCTGCCTGACATCTTGACATCTTGTGTCTGGGTTTCAGTTGGTCTGAAAACCAAACACAGTACATACAGGACACAAAGCCCGGACTGTCTGGGCGAATCCCGGACAGGTGTCAACCTTACTTAGGTGTTCCCAGTCAAGACTACAGTCGCATATAAACACGCTCTGGGCACACACTGCTTCCTCAGTAACTAGATCACTGCTTCACCCACCAGCCTTTCCACTGACAGCAGCACCGGAAAAACCTGCCACATAAAATTAATTTAAAATTAAGTTAAATAATGAAAAAAAAGTTAATTAATTAAAACAAGTAAATTATATAATTCTAACAATGCTGGTCCTCCACTGTGGGAATGTGAGGCGGGAGGAACCAGCAGAAAGTCTTTTCCACCGGAGAACTCATGCGCTGTAACAGAAGTCCCTATGTCAGTGGGTGAAGTGGTAATTCAGTGTGTGATCCCCAGATGGATGTTCAGGGTAGTGTTGGAAGAGGAAGGCAGCAGTGGGGAAGTTTCAGAAAGGTAAAAAAAAAAAGCCCTCCAGCTGTGGCTATACTACAAATCCCATAATGCATCCGCCTATCTGAGTCATCCCTGTGGCTGTCAGAGTCTTGCAATGCCCAATCAGGCTTGTAGTTGCACCATGGCTGGAAGGCCAGAGTTTGCCTACCCCTGATCTAAAGGAAAACATTGACTTATGGATGAGGGTCTAATACTCCTTTAAGACTGAGTATAGATTTACTGTAAGCCTTGCAGAGTCATGGACCGGTCACAAATTGAAGCTTTGACATTTAAGATTCGGACAGATGATTAGGAACTTGACCTTCCTGGAAGCCGGCTCCACAGAGATATTAATACATTACAAGCGTCAAACTCCCACACATCTGATTCATGCAATAGATGATTCTCCAACTATGTGGGCTTTACCGCTCACCTGTGTGGATCCATCTCATACTGCATGGGTGGGCTTTAATAAAACTTTGTAGATGCAAGTCTAAAGGTCCGCCCGAATGTCCAACACTTCAGGAAATAGCCAAGTATCCAATTTTTACTATATCAAAAAAAGATGGACTCCGAGGAATAAAATGAACGGAGGGGCTACATGACTGGATGGAGGAATAGTCCCAAGAAGGAGCTAAGATGTGAGAGGTCAGTGTAGGTATAAGAGCCCCTACCTGACTGGATGGCCAGTGGATGGGAGAGTAGAAAATGTAGTGGTCATTCCGAAAGCATGATTGAGAGAAGAAAGTTGTCCCATCCACCGTCCCTCATTTCTTCAACTGGGTCAGATTATAGTGATATTTGTCACAGCAGGTAGGGGATATCTGAAACAGTGGGATAGTTATGAAAATATGGGGCCCACCTAGTGGTATGGTGCTTGTTGTTTTAGCATCTATGGCATATGTGTCTTCAAATGGGGCTTGGTCCCTTGAAAAGGAAGAAAATAGTCAGTTTGGAGCTGTCCTCAAGTTGGTGGGGTGCGGCTGGAGACAGGGTTGGGTGATAGTCAATCCTTTAGGATGGTGGACACCAAAGACAAAGGTTGTCATATTATTTGTTGGTTACGGTTTACTTTATTCTGGCTATTTATGATATTGATAATGTTTCATTGGTTGAATAAAGGGATTGTAACGATCTGGGATCAGGCTCGGAGTCCAGTAGCTGAAACAACGGGCAAATCCATGGTGAAACAGGCCGAGTTCGGTACACAAGTAGACGGTAGTAGTATAGGATCAGGCAGAAGCGTAGTCAGAGATCAAGCCATGGTCAGTAGCCAAAGGTATCAGGTATGAAGCGTAAGACGATGAGCAAGATATTGGCAGGAGCACAATAATCTGGCAAACAGGAAGTGCAGAGGAATGGCTTAAATAGGAAGTTCAAGGGAGGAGCAAGGAGTTCAGAGTTCAGCAGAAACTAGGTTTACTTGAGGATTACACAGGAGAGCAGGCAAGGAGCTATCCAAGGTTCTAAGGTGGCTCAGCAGGTACAACCACTGCCAGCTACAGCAGAGGCCCTGGGTTCAGATCCGGGATGCTGTGGCTATTTCAAATCAATGTTGCACTGTCCGTGTAATTATTGGGGTCCAGTGGGGGATGACATTGACTTATTCAACCATTATTGTGCCAGAAGAGTAACGGGAGGTTATAGCAGAACTATAGGTTAAGCTTTAAAGTACCTAAAGCCCAACTCCAAAGTTTATCCAACATTTAAAAATGGCGTCACCCTTCACCTTCATCTTCCACCATCATCCATCCTCTTCTGGATCAAGTGGTCCTCAGAATCATTTACTGGAGGTGCATCGTCACTCTGGCTTGGGCCCACAGCATCATGGTGAATTCTTGTGTTCCCGGAGCAGGGCAGAATCAGTGAACATACCGATAGTTCTGCTCCAGTTATGCAATGGGAGCTTTCCCTGTTCTGCTCCTGAACATGTCGAGCTATCAGGAAGCTTGACTGTACAGAAGGAGGTCAATGTTTGTGAGGTTATCAGGTACCTGGTTAACATGCCATCTCTCCCACTGCAGAAAGTCAGGCAAAGTATGTAATTCAATTGTTTGAAATAATGTTATTCTCCTACTTCTTTAGGGGTTGCCTGGCGAAATTGGCTTTCCTGGCAAGCCTGGCAAACTTGGATCACCGGTGAGTGTTGCAGATGATGGTGAATTGTTTTTTCTGTGTAAAATCGTGTGTAATGTATGGATATAATACCTTCTCATGTCAACCCACTCACCCCCCCCCCTTTCTGAACAACATTCAGTTAAAACATTTTAATCAAATAATTTAGTTTTGGGACCCAGTGATATCACTGGGTCTGTCTGCTGCTCTTTGGTCTGTGATAAGGTCAAGTTTGATGGATGGGGCTGCCAGGCTCTTTTAAACGTCACCCCTTTAGACATGCATTGTCTCTCCTACTGGCCATTGGGTACTGCAGACTTTGGATATGCAATCAGTTACCTACCTACCTATTCCTTCTCCTACCTTCCTATTCCAATCTCTCCTAAGAGCTGGAATCCCAATGAGCCTATTACCTTTATTACCCAGGAAACCCCTCTTCTGTGCCCATCTCTGATTACATTTCTCATGTGCACAGGACTTGGCTGCCCTAACTTTAGAGCTGAGTTCTGCCAGCTGACTTCACACTGTTCAATAAGAGTACCATCAATGGTTAATGAATTGCTCTCCTTGGCCAGGAGATGGTTCTCCTTGAAATCATAGGGTGCTATAACAAAGTGAAGGAAACATAACAGGGCTTCTGACTCATAAACATAGCCACTGTCTGTTCTTAGGCACTTTCAGTTTTATGAGCCTCGTCAGTACCATGTGTTACAATATCACGTGGTAAAAAGCACATGGCAGTTTGTGAAGTGCATTGCAGTGCCATTTATTTGGAATGGTGCCCCAACAAAGAAGCTGAGTAGGTGCCAACTGACCCTCCACAAGCCGTGGGTCCATTTTTTAAACCATTGCCATGGGTTGGCAGCCCAATGGGTCGTGCTTAATGCAATACATGAAATACCACACATAAATGCACATGTGATAACGCAGTACAAAGATCTGAAGTGGGCCTCAGTATTTAACCACTTCAGGACCACTTCAGGACCACAGTGCATACATCTTCGTCATAATCCTGAAGTAGTTATACCAAGATTATGGTTGATGTTGGAGCCATGATCTTGGTATCATTGTTTTCAGCCGACAATGCTTGTTTGGTACAAGTGATCTGTGGTTAGCTGTACAGCCGCCCAGATTTATTTTAGTAGCCTGCAAATGTGGTGCCCCCGCACCTCCTGGTACTGTGTTTTGAGTCCCCCGATCCTCTGGGAGTCCCAGGATCACAGCATACAGTGTCAGGATAGAGAACTGGGGCGCAAACTGAGGAACATCCATTCCCCAATGTGGTCTGTGATGAACAAAGCAGGGAGCTCCGTGTTCTCAGCGCTTCAGAGTTGTCAGAACCTGGCTGAAGTGCTGGTTACACATTCCTGTGCTTGATCATCTGTACTGGAGGGCAGAAGAGACATCAGAGGTCTAATAGACCCCTGATGTCTCCATGAGGAACCTGTGACTTTCAAATGCTATCACATAGGGGCTTGTTATTTCCTTTGTAATAGCAATAAAGTGAAGTGAAAAGAAATAAAACTGTGATACATGAGTAAAAAATAATAAAATAAATAAATATTTGAAAAATAATTAAAATGAGCCCCGCCGCCCCCAACATCTGCATGCAAATGAACACGTGCACGTACAGCATGCCTGTGTACGTGAATGATGATTGTGCCACACATGTTGGGTATCACTGCTAATGTAGGAGTGAGAACAATAGTTCTGTGGCCAAAAATTCTGTTAACTCTGAACTGAGGAGCAGTAAAGACTTTTAAAGAGTTATAATTTTGAGTACCACGGCTTTTCGCCATTGAATGGGTGTGCACAATTTTAACGTTTGACATGCTTGGTATCCATTTATTCATCGTGACCCCATCTTTTATTTTTTGCCAAAAAAACGGTAATTGAATTGTCTTTGTGTGCATGAAAAATCATTTAGTGTTTTTTTCTTTCTTAAAAATATTGATTTGATAAACATTTGCTCAAATATTGTGCAATATAAAAAAAAAATACAGCTTTTTTATATTGCACAGGGCCTCTGTTTTTACAACATATATAATTGTTTTGGGGATTTAAAGTCATTTTCTCTCCAAAAATTCAGATTTTAACACGTGTGTGCAAAAATAAATAAATCGCTCTGGCACTATGGTGGTTAAAAAGACTCCCCGAAGAGTTGTAGGAAAATATAATGCATTACCTTATTGTGCCAGCAGATGGAGCACTTGCACATCACGATGACTATTCTACGTATTGAGTGCACGATTGTTCTAAACACTTTATTCTAACTGTATATATGAAAGATAAGTTCTGTGCTCCTGGAGCTACCTAGGTTAAACTTAAACCTAAAGCTGCTATGAAATGAAGGGGATAGGCCACCTCAATGATAAGTGAAAAGTGGGAAACACAGCGCTAAAGGTTAACCTAATAATATAATTATACAAACAGTGTTTAGGAAGTGTAAAAAATATATGTGTTCTTTAAGTGAACAATATATAAGGAGAGCTGTGTCTTCACACAGCCCTAAAACACAAAAATCATTAGTGTAGTAAATCAAGAACGAATTGGTATATAAATATGTGAAAAACCATCAATCATAAATCAAGATTAAATACAAAAAAAAGGGGAAAAAAAGAAAAGATGGTCGTGACAAAGGAAAACGAGGAATGAAATATAAAAATCAATTGTGTTGCAACGTATAAGCTATGATGGAAATATGTGTTAATTGAATGCCACACAGGAAGTGAAAAGTAAACAGATAAAATGGATAGTAACTCGTTAGAAAATATTCAACATGATTGGAAACCACCGGTGATAATATCAGCTTCTATAAAGCAGCTGGAAGAAAATATATTATAAACAAAACAAAGAAGCAAAGAGATCACCAAAACCACAATCAACAGACTGTATCTATTTTGGGGTGATCTCTTAAGTAGCAATCTGGAGATGTAAATGTCAATCAGAGGTAACAGAGTTTTGATGTGCGATATTGTGAGCCGCGAAGAAGGAAACCCCAAAAGAAAACAAATCCTTGTAGATCTCTAACTCTTCGATCCGGCGGCCCCCTTGTATTGGTACTCACCAAAATGTAGTTGGAAACCACATTTCTCAAGTTCGTTTTAGGTCCACGATACTGCCCCGCTTTGGACGGTGTTCTTCCCATTGAAACCAGGAAAAATGTACTCTCTTTCAGGCCTCGAGGCAGTTTTCCTTGAGCGTGGTGCCGACAATCATTCACTCAGAGTTTCCAGAGTTTCCACAACGTTTTCAGGATTTAGAAAAAAGAGAATCATCATAGTGTAATAAGTAAAAGCAACATAATTTATTAAAAATAGTAATTTACATATAAAAAACACAAATCCGGCCGACACAGCAGCTCTGGGATAGCAGTTAAAAGCTCCTCGTGTGTAAATGAATCTGCCTTTTGACGCGTTTTGTCATTTTCAAAAAAAGTTATTCTAACTGTGTATGGATGGAAACTAGAGGTGCACCAAAATGAAAATTTCAAGACCGAAATGAAAAAAAAAAGTCAGGCTGGAACCGAAACCGAAATTTTTTTTTATTTTAACTTTTTCCATTTTTTCTATATTTTATTTTTTATAAACGTTTAAAATTTTTATTATTTATTTATTTCTATTAAATATTTTTATTTTTTAATTTACTTTTGGGGGCTTCGGGGAAATATTGGGGGTCTAAAAAAAAACCTGATATTTCCCTTTTAGAATAGAAAACAGAGTCCTCAATCTTTTTTTCTGCAGCCCCTGTTATCAATGAACAGGAATCCTCTATGAGTGTTCCTGTCCATATATAACAATAGGACAGAGTATGTTTACTATAACCACAATCATGAATGAACAGGAGGTGATGTAGATCACTTCCCATTCATTCATAATTGAGGATATAGTAACCATACTCTGTCCTCAATTATCTACAAACACTCAGCGATCACTGATCCCTGACTGCTTGTACCGCTCTCCATCCTGACTCACTGTCACAGGAGGCTGAGCGAGAGCTGCGGAAAGGAGAGCTCAGCCTTCTGTGACAGCGCGGGCTCTCTCCACCCCCACACTGCTCTGCCGGACTGTGATAGGAGGCTGAGCGGCGTGGGAGGAGAGACGCGGCCATTCACAGCGCTTGGCCGGCAGTCACTTTCTCTCCTCCCCGCTGGGACACAGAGCCGCGCCCAGGGGGGAGGAAAGAAATCACGGATGCCACAATGTATCGGCAGGAAAATGGCACTTTCTGCATTTAGCCAAAAGTGCAATTTTCGGCCGATATGTTTCAGCGGCCGATATATCGGTGCATCCCTAGAATAAGTGAACTGGCATAAAACTGCTATACACATTCCCTTTAAAGGTACTGACTGCTTGTACCGCTCTCCATCCTGTGTCAGTGAGCGAGCGGAGCTCAGCCTGTTGTGACAGTGCTGGCTATCTCCGCCCACACACCGCTCTGCCGATTTCTAACAGGAGGCTGAGCGGTGCGGGGTGGAGAGACGCCGGCTGCTCACAGCGCTCTCCACCCCCCTGGGACATAGAGCAGCGCCAAGCGAGGAGGAGAGAAAGAACAGATGCACCGCTATATCGGCAAGAAAATTGCACTTTCGGCATTTTGGTGGAAGTGCCATTTCTGGACGATATGTTTCGGCGGCCGATATATCGGTGCATCCCTATTGGACCCTATAGGCTAAAAAATAAGATATTAAAATGTGGAATATAACATGGGTGCAAAAAATGAAAAAAGGGCCTCAGTCATGAAGGGGTTAAAATCCACTGGTTGTAATAGTGGCTGAGTATAACATACAGAAGTCCTGTGTTGGAAACATACACAAGATGATAAATAATGCAGCAGATGGAGAAGAAAGCAGAAAACAAGGACAGATAGCGGGACTGAAGTTGTCCCATAAGCTGCATTAAGCATGGACGGTTTTTATCACCAGTCAGCTGCAGCATTGTATGCCGGCAGCAACATTCTCATTCTTGATACTATGAGGCATGTGTATAAAGTAGTAATAATGACTTTCACCAAACATTCACTGATCGTGAATCACTCACTTCCATTTAAAACACATACTCCAGGAAGACTCACCTGCAGTGAATGTTTGATGAGCGTCAGATTCATTGCTTTATAAATACAGCCCTCTGTATCAGGAGTCTTTGGCACATTAAAGCTTAGGCAATAATATTATTAGGATAATATTATTGCCATTAGCAGTTACTGAGATAGTAGAATTGTCACCATCACATTTATTATAGCTAGAGTGGTTTAGTTCTAACAGCTGAACCGCAGGGACACATTAATGCAGTCATCCATTCACTAATGCATTATATATAATGTACACATATAATGTAATCTACACAAGGAGAGAGCAGCAGTGAGCGGTCTTTATTACAGGAGGGGGAGGAGACATGACCAATCACCCTGCACAAGGAGAGGGAGCAGCAGTAACTGGTCTGTATTACAGGAAGCTCCAAGTCTCGCACTGGATGACTGCACAGATCTGGAAGAAATACACAAAGCTCACCAAGATTCAAGAAGAACACACATGACTCTTGTATGAGGACAAAGGACAATATCTACTCATCCAGGAGTTCAGATTTAAAGGAATCTGTAACAAGTACATTAATTTAAAAATGAATATTCCAAATGTTGCATAAACCCATCCATGACTGGTTCTCTTTAATATAGTATATGACATTATAAGACGTGATAGTAGATTTTTATATTTATTATACTAACTATTGGTATTGTTTTATGTTTAGGGTTCTCCCGGAAAAGACGGGATAGATGGTGTGGATGGGAAACCGGGGCAGAAGGTGAGTGGTCTTAAAGTGACATTAAACCCTCAGATGTTTTAACATAAACCAATACTGTAATGTGCGCCTTACTGTAATCCATGGTTGTTTCCCTTCTCGTTGCTGCTCTTCCTTTTAAATCCTCATGTCTTCTCATGCTGGGGGAGAACTTCCCTTTGCAGCTGAGTGCCTCTTCCTGTAGTGCTGGCTCAGGTTGTGAGCCTATACACAGACACCATGTATCCATTTCAGAGACAAGGCAGTCTGCTGCAAAACAGAAGTTCTCCCCAGCATGAGAAGAGAGAAGGATTTAAAAGGAAGAGCAGCAAAGAGAAGGGAAACTACCATGGATTACAGTTTCCCCTTATGACATCAACAGGCTGCAGACTACATCTCCCAGGCTCCTACCGGAAGCCTCATCCTCTCGCTCCTGTCACTGCCTTTTTTTTTAACTTTTCACAGCACTGTGCACAGCATGAGGTCAGACATGCACCCTGTTGTATGTAATGTGGCATCCCCAGCACCAGGACAGAGTTAAACATCCAAAAGCAAACACTTTGCAATAAACCGATCTTTACAGTAAACTGTAAAGATACCAGTAAGGTCATTATAAGGTGAATTGTGATTGGTTATAGTTAGTTATACTCATAGTATAGTGCAGGGACGTGCAGTCAGGGGAGGCAGAGCCTCACCTAGAATTATGGAGGAAAAAGCTGTCAGCTTCATGTCTGAAGCTGACAGCTTTTTCTCCATTCAGATCGGCATCTAACAGGTTACACAGCAGGGAAATCCTCCCCGCTGTGTAAATTGTCATGGAGCCTCAGCAGTGAGCAAGTGAGGGACAGGGAGGCTCCTCCCTTCCTCCTTTACACTTGCTTGGGGGTGGGGCTTCATCCGACAGGGTGGAGCTTCCGTCAACAGGGGGCGGGGACCCTGTCTGCGGGGGCGGGGCTAGAAATGCCTCACTACCGAGCAAGAGATACCGCACGTCACTGGCATAGTGCACTTTGCAGGTCTCATAAGCCACTAACTCATGCACCTTACCCTCCTCCCTGGATTCACAGTCAAAGCCCAACTGACCTGTAAGTTTAATACATTCTGAGATTATTCAGAATTCATTGACAGGTGCATTGGACCTGCAGTTGACCTGCGTCAAGTTGGTTTTGCATTCCCGTTAACTTGTATGGGAACCCATCTGACAAAAAGAAACATCCTTCAATACCGGCCTTAAATGTTGAGTTTCTGTAGACTAAAGTATTGTTTTAACAAACACTTCTGACCGACATCTGTCTGTCTGACCCCCAACAGGGTGAACAAGGTGAACGCGGCTTGGATGGAATTCCTGGACAAGTTGGCCTTAAGGTAACCGTATCTTGTGTGATAATGTTTCAAGAAAGTTGCAATAAAAAGAATAATTATATTGCATTTGACTAATGATTAACTAACAAAAAAAATGTATTAACTCAAAAAGGGTTCATTACAAAGCTGCCGGAGCCGAGTGAAAAACCCACCCGAAGTGAAGTGAGCTATTCACTTCAGGTTTGTACAGCTGATTTCAGCCGTACATCGGCTTGCTTTGACTGGCTTTGGTTCAGCCAAACATGCTTAGCATGTTCGACTGAGCCGAAGTTAAGGAGGAGTTAGACTCAGCCGATCCAACATCTGGATTGGCTGAGCCGAACCTCCGGCATGCTACTCGCTGCTGTTCGATCTATTCTCATAGGGGTCGAACGGCAGTGAGTGAATAGCCAAATTCCGCCAAGTGTAAATAAATGATAAATAAAAATAATAATAATAAAGATGTCTTTAAAAAAACAAAAAACAACAATTGGGCGGAACTAGTAGTGACAGCTAGCAGATCCCAGCCAATGAATAACAACTGGGCGGAGCTGGCCATGACATCACAGCCAGCTCTGCCCAGCTGTCATTGTTTAAAGACAGTTCAGCGTCCCCAGGTAACCTGGGGACGCTGATCTGTCATTGCAACTGGGCGGAGCCAGCTGTGAGATCACGGCTGGCTCCGCCCAGCTGTCAGTTGTTAGGCTTTTGGCCGGACAGTGGCCTCCCCCCACTTCGGGTGTCACTTTGACTCAGTCTTCGGCTCGGCTGAGTCCCTCGGCCAGCTTCGGGAGCTGTACGGGCTATAGTGACTAGCCCATACCGTAGCCCTTCAGTTCTACTGAACCAAAGGGCTACGGCGGCTAGCTTTGTGAATAACCCTCAAAGTATTAAAGCCAGAAGTCCGGTCCGACAGTCAGGCAACTAGAACTTCAGAATTAGACATCAGCAATAGCAGCCTCCATGCTTTTCACAGAAAATGTTTTGTATTAGAGTTCAGAGTTCATTGAGTGACATTGTATTACAAATTGTAAAAAAAAAAGAGCTTTCATTTGTGTATGTTAAATTGCTTTTTTTTTTATTTGATGACTGACTGTGTTAGACACCAGTAGGTGGCAGCAGACAACCTCCTGTTTTCTTGAATAACTATTTATTATTATTATTATCAGTATTGTTATTATTAATATTATCATCATCATTATTGGCAGCAGGTATAGTATTGTTGTCTTTGTTATTAATATTATTATTTTGTTATCTATGTTATTTGCGCAGCAGTCATATATTTCATACATATAACTGTTTCTTTTCCAGGGCCAACGTGGTGAGCATGGACCCTCCGGTACCCCTGGACACAAGGTAACCAAACCATCAGCCTTTGTTCGCTTTATTTCTCTGTATTTCCTACAAAGGTGTAACAAGGGGGACAATCATGCTTAGTATCATTCTCTTCTGATTACGCTGTTTTTCACCTTATTGCATAAAATCCATTACTGAGTTACTTACATTATGAATGTACCATTAAAAGGGCTTTGTTATATCTGTTGGATAAGTGTAACTAATTCCTGTTGATCATGCCAATAATACAGTGCTGCCCTACGCAGTCTGCATTGTTATCAGGAAGTGTTAGGACTAGGATGGCAAAACACCACCCCATGTTATGGAGTTAGGCAGGTATTCCTAATCCTAACACACTTCCTGTCCTAGGCTGGCAATGTTGCTTCTCCATAGATACAACGTTGAGCCATAGAGCCCTAGGACAGAAAGTTGGTTAATAGCTGGATTACTAGGTGTAAATAAATATAAAAGTCCAGAAGAAAAGTAATGCAGCCACCACAGTATATTTGTTCTTAAGTTTAGATACACTTGCCTTCAAAATCGCCAGGGAAGGAGACCATTGGCCAGTTATTTCATATAGCAAAGTTACTGAACTGAGAATTGTATGTGGGATGTGGTCTCTGTTTGTTCGTTACATGTAAAGATTGAGGTTGGATTCTTGGATTTGCCTTGCGGTGTTGTTTGGATTATAGAGTGGAGCAATACAGCACTGGAATGCATTGTCTGAATTCTCAAGTTTTGGGTGGAAACACCAGCACATTTTAGCAGTAGTAATTATCATTAGCGCTCATAGCAGGGCCACACAAAGAGGATTGCTGGATTGAGAAGGAAGGTATCTATCTATGGAGGTCTACACAGGGATGGGGG